GAGACCGTAGGGGCACTGGTACGGTGGCTAACATTTGAACTAAAACCACGAAAATTATTTTGGAATGGAGGGAGTGCTTTTTTACAAATCAAATTTAGCTAAGCTACATGGCAACAAATCTAAATTGACTTCTTTCTCTTCACTTTACCACCATAGCATCTGATAGTGCATGAACTTTCTAGCACCTTCTCACATTGTGGACATGTAACATGTATAATATGCATATTTTTAGGGTATTGAGAAGATTAATCTTAGCACTAATATGTCTCAAGGTCTGCTTCAACATATAGAATTTAAAGTTTCTTTTCTTGTGGACGCAACTAACAGCAGAACTCTACTTGTGGACACAACTTCCAGAAGAACATGTGTTGTAGAAGCCCCTATTAAACGACCATATTTTTTTGTGGACGCAACTAACACGGGAATTCAGCTTCTTGTGGACGCAACTAACACAAGAAGTATCTTTTGGATGCAACTGACACATTATCTTGGTTACACAGAAGATATTATGGACACCTCTAGCAAAAGAACTTAGGTAACCACACACAGAGATTATCTCATTGACGCTGGTAGATATGCGTGTGTGTGTGTGTGTGTGTGTGTGTGTAGCCGTGAAGGTTTTTATTTTCCTTGTTGTATAAGGGGCTTGTGCATATTTCCTGGCATGTATATAATATTGTCCTATGGCCCCATGGTAATACAAGTTGCTTATCCTAACAGGTATGAGAACCCTTGTTTTTTTTTCTCCACACACACTTGCGCTCAATCTTGATCGGTTTTGGTCTTCTTTTGTTCTTGTCGTTTCTGCGGTTAACGCGTTCGATCGCCATCTCCTCGACTGGATCGACCCTCTCCATGCCAACCTCCACCTCACAGTTGCCCGTCTATCAACAGGACGCCGCCACCGGCGCTCTCAATTGTCGATGTCCAGATTGGATCAGGCCGCAAGTCCCATCTTTCCGATTGGATAGTGACTCTGCCCCGCCAACGAATGCTTGCCGTGTACCTCCTTTTGCAGAAATCATGCCATGCTTCCCTACCGTGTGCTGACCATCACCTTGTCCTTGACTACCTAGCGTTGTCTCTGCCTTCGTCCAACTCGAGGTCACCTCTTCCCTGAGCGCTACCGTCTCCAAGGCTCGTTGCACTATTCATGGGGACACTGGAAGTCAGCGTCAAGTTTTGCTCTATTCGCGCTGCTAGATCTTGGAAAAAAATGAGTAAAAAAAGGTATAATATCTTCGTCATCGCGTTACATTTGCATCCCTCATTGCCTGGTGATTTTTGGTGGTGTTAACAACACCGAGTTTGTGGCCCGCAGGCGCATCCATATGCACTCTCTGGGATGTTCTCTCTAGCAAGGTCTCCTCTTCACTGCACTCTGCGCTGCACTCTGTTGCCCCTGTAGATCCTATGCTGCCGACACCACTGGCTCCTACCCCGGATGCCTACCAGGCTGCTAAGGATGCTGACAAGATTGCTGATGCTGCTGCCATTGCTGCCGCAACAAAAATGATCCCAGACTACCAAACGGCTCTTGACACTTACCGCCATGAACTAACAGCCTATGTTCTGGGCTTGATGATGACACTCATTCTGGGGCTGTCCTTTGTGCCAGTGTTCTGCCTTGGTTTTCTTCTGAGTTTTCATCAGGGTGATGCCACCGTCGATGCGTTCTACGCTTAGAGTTATGCTATCTAGCGCAACTTGATTCTTCTCGCATTACTTGTGGCTCATGTTCCTGTTGTTAGACTATTTGTTCGGACTTGGAGTTTCACCATGTCACGAGTTCTTTGAGATAACGAGAAGATGACGCATCAGAGGGAGATAACCCATTAGGAGAAGATACAAGATGAGTATGAAGAGTAGATGGTTGTCATAAGAACATGGCACATCAAGAGAATGAAACATTACACAAAAAATCCTGGCCCAAGACACCGGTGATGAAAGAAGCTCGACAGCCAAATAATTAACTTAGATCAACGACAATGCAAAAGGAGGCCACAAAAATCCTATAAAAAGAATAATGACCAGAAAACTGGAAGGCATGAAAAACACGAAAGAGCAACGGGTTTGGTGGACATAGTGAAAAATATAGAAAACTGGAAGGCACATACTAGACTAGGCAATGAAGCAGAGAGACCGGCGGCGGTGGCAGCGGAAGAAGCATGAAGCTAGTTAAGCTTGCAAATGGCATGAGAATCGTGGCGGCGAGGGCCAGAACCAAACAAAGCTCCCGTGCGATGCTCCCGACTATGAATAAGGTGGTCTCCTTAAGATTGAAGAGTCAGTAGCAAGACTGGCAAAACCCTAAGTTGCACAATATCTTGCTCAATGAAGGCCATGGTTGAAGAGGTTGAAATAGAATCACCAGTCCTTTTAGAAGAGCCTCGTGAAAGGCGCCGCTTCTAATTGTAGCAAGAAGACTCATATTGACGCATATCGTAGCAAGTGCAAGGAGGACTAGGGCGACCACTAGCGTCGGTTGGAGATAATATAAGAAGCGGAGCACTAAGCGAGAAGCATCCGGTACAGGAGTAGACGGAGCAGGTGAGCGAGTGGCAAGCATCGAGGGTACCTCCAATAGACCAACACCGTGCAGACGAGTATCCTCATCACAAACCTCTGAGAGGGCCCCGTGAAGAGAGACATGAGGTATGCGTGCAAAGAGCTGGGCATGTCGCGGCTTAAACTCCTTATGGAGCCGAGACAAGAACTCATAAACAAGATGAAACTCAGTCTGGATGAGCATCCTGGCAACACAGATGAGTGACAACCAATAATACAAAGCGGATCGAGCTGGCGCCAAATAGTGTTATTTTGAGAATAGAAGTCGTCGACGGTGGAATCACCCTGTTGTAGTGCCTAGAAGTCGTCGATGGTGGAATCACCCTGTTGTAGTGCATGCTCCTGGTGAACCATAGACATATAGAGAGCGTCATTGGAGGGTTGATAGCGCTGGCGAAGGTGAGTTATCTCGAAGGCTGTAGAGAATGCCATGGAGGAAAGCTGAGGCATGACACTGGCATAAAGAACATTCGCAGAATGAGCATCATCATCAAATTACCGAGCATTGGCAGCTAGCTGATTACTGTAAGTGTCAAAAGCTATCAGGTAGTCTGAAACCTGTTGGTTGTAGACGACAACAACAACATCGTCAACAATGCAACATTGGGGGAAAGAGCAGGTGGTGCCAGCGGCATAGGCACCACCAGGTCAATATGACACTGTGAACAAGGGACCTTGCTGAGAGAGCGCCCCAGAGATGACACATGTAGGCAATGAAGTTGGTGCAATTAACATCATAAAAAATCACTGAGAAACGAGGGACGGAAACATAGCCTAACATGTTCCTTTTTTTTCTTCAGAAAAGTTCTCAGCGATTGAGATCAGAGCCCTAATGAAACAGAGGATTGTGCCCCAGATACATATGGGATGCAGAGCTCCGGTTAGAAGGCGTCGGTGTCGGTGGCGGTGGGATGTCGATCTAGAGGTGGCGCCGACAACCAGAGAGGCGACGCTCGACGTCGATCTTGAGGTGGTGACCTTGAGGAGGAGACGACGTCGGCTTTTGGAGGAAGATGAGGCGACCGAAATGTGGTGGTGGCGGCGACCTTGAGGAGGAGGAGGCGACGTCGGCTTGAGGAAGAAGATGAGGCGACCAAAATGTGGTGGTATCGGCGAGGCGAACTGGAGAGCAGACGTCGAGCAGGATCAGGTGGGGAGGTGGGGACGAGCAGAAGCCGTTGGTTGGCTTGCTTGGAGGTGACTGATCCAATTGAGTAGGACACCGTGGGTTTTGATATGGGCTTTGAAAAATTAGGGAATCAAGTAGGTCGAACAAGAAAATCGGGACTCGGTCAGAAGACCGATCTATGGAGATCGATCGATCGATCAAGATGAACCAAAAAAAAAATCTGCATGGAGAAAGAAGCATGAGTTGCGTGTGCGGAAAAAACTAGCTCCAATACCATGTTATGGATGCAACTTGATTGTATTGTAAAGCCCATGGGGAAATATATAGTACAAAAGACTTGGAGCACAAAAATGAAAATCCGAACTAATATGTACACCTAGACGAATTCTATCATTAACAGTTCGACATGGTACGCCCTAGCGAACCGGCAGGGTCAAACATCAACAAGGCTACCCACCCCCTGTCGATCACCCATGGAGCCACGTCAAAGGGAACCAATGGACCACCCGTAAAGCTTCGTGATCACCTTGATCATGTTGTCACCCAATGGGAGCACAAATAGTCGGTGGTAAACGGTAATCACCTCCTCTTAGATCTTCTCACTCCCCTCTACAAGCCCCACTTACGGAGCATGTTCCGAAGGGCACATAGCCCAGTGTTGAGACTGCCCCCTTGGCTGGCGATGCGCCGGCTACGCCTCAGCTGGAAATCCAACTCTAGGAGCAGGACATCTGTGTGTGTCTTAGCTGCGCTTAGGAATTCACACATGGTGCGTGTTCTAGCGCAACCACCCACACTCGTCGGTCTCGCAACCCTACTTTTTCATTATTATGACTAGGTCTTTTTATGCAACTGTTTGGTATTTTTTCTTCAGTCTTTCTTGAGACATGGGCTTGAGTTGGAGTGTCATAAATATTCTTTTCTGTCCATATTGGTTTTAGCACGGAATAAAGAGAAGTCCTGCTCCTGAGGGACATTGTGTTTCCGCATCAGTTCCTTCTCATGGTGGACTGACACTGACTGTAGAAACTTCAGCAATTAAAGGTTGGTTTCTTTCGTTATGACATCTTCAAATGAAACATAACAGTGCGTGTCTTTATTAGTGCAAAAATTTGTTCTTGGCAGTTCAAGCAAAAGCAACCCGAGGTTGTAAGTTTCTAGTGAGCAAGGAAGATTGAGCTATTCTTTAGCAGTTCACTATATGCAGTTTCTCTTTTTATCTTTCCTTACCCTTTCTTATTCTTTGGATTGTAGGAATTGGTTCCTGGGTTATTTTAGTTTGTAAAAAAGTATTTCCTCAAATATGGTGGCCTCTCTAGATAATGTGAGAGGCTTGACTTTAGCCATGTCATCCAGTGCATTCATCGGTTCAAGCTTTGTAATCAAGAAAATTGGGCTGAAGAAGGCTGGGGATTCTGGGGCTAGAGCAAGAGCAGGTTATGCCTCTTCTGACACCTACGTAATCAGATCAAAGACTTAATTGCATAGCATCGTTGAGTGAATCCTTAAATGCTTTTGAGCCTTATGCAATATGAATGATATGTACGATATCTATTGAGATTTTATATAGTATAACTTAATAATTTCGATTTCTTATGCTAATGCATTGTAGGTTCTGGAGGTCATTCATACTTGTATGAACCATTATGGTGGCTGGGAATGGTCACTAGTAAGTGTGGATTAAGATAATGCTTTTGAAGCAATTAGCACTGTACTATAAAATAATGAAGTTAGCTATACTGCTTATTGCAGCCGACTACAATTCTGCAGTCTTTTTTCTTTTCGTTTGTGCTTGTGTAGATTTTATATCTAGCTTATATGCTTTGTGTTGAATCAGGGAGGGTCTCACCTCTGTGTCTCTTCCTTCTTTGGTGGCTGGATGGTGTGATGTGTGTGGCTCTCGCACCTCTTCAGACACTGGCTGGCTCAACCTCTTCTAGGTCAAAGCCATGCCTGAGCCACATGGGCTTAATTGAAGATGGGCAAGACCCATACCGGTTGAACACCCCCATTCAAGATGGGTGGTAGATATCTATCAACCCCATCTTGTCACATGCCAAGTTACAGTCCTTTGATCTTAGTCCCTTTGTCAAGCAATCTGCAATCTATTGCCCAGAGCTGACATGAGTAAGGCTGATGATCCCAACAGCAAGTTTCTCCTTGACGAAGAAGCGATCAATTTTCACATGTTTTGTCCTATCATGTTGAACTGGGTTATTGGCGATGCTTATAGCTGACTGATTGTCACACCATACTCTCAAGTGTCCCTTCCTAAGAAGTTTCAACTGGCTCAGCAGGTTCTTCACCCATAACATCTCACTCAACCCTTGAGATAACGCTCTATACTAAGATTCTGCTATTGATCCAGACACAATTGTCTGTTTCTTGCTCCTCCATGACACCAAAATTCCTCCCACAAACACACAGTAGCCCGAGGTTGATCTTCTATCATCATGACAGTTGGCCCAGTCAAAATCACTATACCTATCCACCTCAAGATGTCCACTCTTCGCAAACCACAACCCTTTTCCCGGAGTGCCCTTTAAGTATCTTAGTATTTTGTGCACTGTATCAAGATGCCTGCTCCTTAGTTCATGCATGTATGCTCACCACACCCACGACATACGCAATGTCTGGCCTGGTATGACCAAGTACAATTACCTCCCAACCAATTTATGATAATCTTATTCACTAGCTTCACCCAAATGAGCTTTCACTTGATGATTTTGTCCAATCGGCATAGTAAGCTTTTCAAACAACAAAGAGATCTTTTGGCTCACCACAAAATGGCTTAGACCTCCTGAAGGTGACATCCATACTTACAAACCTGCGTTTCTAGAGGGACACCAACATTCGTGTTATGGATGCAACTTATCTCTATTGCATCCCCTAGGTGGTATGAAACATTTATCCTATATATATGTTGTATGTTTCCTACCACCCAGGGGTAGTTACCCTCATGTGAGTTTTGTATGTTGTATGTAGTATCTGTCAAAACCGAGAGTATGTATGTGTAGTATGTAGTATATATAAGAACATTTGGGTAGCATATATCCTACTTTTTAGGTAGTATGTACTATTTTTTTAGTATATTGTTTTATACGTACCAATATGAAGGTAATTTTAACAACAACAACAACAAAGCCTTTAGTCCCAAACAAGTTGGGGTAGGCTAGAGGTGAAACCCATAAGATCTCGCAACCAACTCATGGTTCTGGCACATGGATAGCAAGGTTCCACGCACCCCTGTCCATAGCCAGTTCTTTGGTGATACTCCAATCCTTCAGGTCTCTCTTAACAGACTCCTCCCATGTCAAATTTGGTCTACCCCGACCTCTCTTGACATTCTCCGCACGCTTTAGCCGTCCGCTATGCATTGGAGCTTCTGGAGGCCTGCGCTGAATATGCTCAAACCATCTCAGACTATGTTGGACAAGCTTCTCTTCAATTGGTGCTACCCCAACTCTATCTTCTCGTATATCATCATTCCGGACTCGATCCTTCCTCGTGTGGCCACACATCCATCTCGACATACGCATCTCTGCCACACCTAACTGTTGAACATGTCGCCTTTTACTCGGCCAACACTCAGCACCATACAACATTGCGGGTCGAACCGCCGTCCTGTAGAACTTTCCTTTTAGCTTTTGTGGCACTCTCTTGTCATAGAGAATGCCAGAAGCTTGGCGCCACTTCATCAATCCGGCTTTGATTCGATGGTTCACATCTTCATCAATACCCCCATCCTCCTGCAACACTGACCCCAAGTATCGAAAGGTGTCCTTCTGAGGCAGGCACCACCTGCCCATCAAGGCTAACCTCCTCCTCACACCTAGTAGTACTGAAACTGCACATCATGTACTATGTTGTAATTCTACTAAGCCTAAACCCTTCGGATTCCAAGGTTTGTCTCTATAACTCTAACTCCTATTTACCCCCATCCGACTATCGTCAACTAGCACCACATCGTCCGCAAAGAGCATACACCATGGGATATTTCCTTGTATATCCCTTGTGACCTCATCCATCACCAAGGCAAAAAGATAAGGGCTCAAAGCTGACCCCTGATGCAGTCCTATCTTAATCGGGAAGTCATCAGTGTCGACATCACTTGTTCGAACGCTTGTCACAACATTATCGTACATGTCCTTGATGAGTTATATTGATCATGTCTTTTGACCTATATTCTTGTCTTTTGACATTCTCTTGTACATGTATATATGTTGGCTTTTGCCTCCTAGTAATACAAGTTGCTTTCCTAACACTCACCACCAACAGCAAGCAGCAGCAGTGCAAAGAGCACCCTAACGTGCAAGCAGCCGAGCACGACCAGTAAAAAACTTCAGCAACAGCAGCAGCACGCAGCAGTCACTGCTTCTTCTCCTCTGCAAAGAGCAGCAGCAACGTCCAGCCTCCAGGAACCCCATGCAGGCGCACCTCCTCCTTTTCCTTCACTGGCCCGGATCATCTGCATGCAGCAGCAAGGTCTCCTGCCCCCCTGTCAAGCAGCTGCGCGCAGCAGCTACACTGCCAGCGCTCTCGTCACCTGCCTCCCTTCATGCAGCAGCAGCACAGGATCAACGCCAGGAGGAACAACAGCCAATATAGCAGCAGGGCACCTTTTCCGACGTCTTTCCCTTGCCTCCACAGCCATGCAGCCCTGCCGCGCCGCCTCGCAGACCACCCCCTCTTCAGCCAGGTCTGCCGCCGCATTCCCATCAGGCCCTGCTGATGTAGGGTAGGAACCCTAGGGGCTGATCTTTCACGAAAGGAGCGGATCCCGTGATGAACACGAAGAACACAAGGAGGGAAACAAGGGAAATCACAAGGGGAAACACAAGAGGAACACTCAAACTAACAAGAACAAGTCAAAAAAGCGCTAGATCCTCGAATACATAAGAGAAGATACACGATCCAAAGTCAACAACGGACGATACACGGTAACCGGTCTTCTCCGTGAGGAGGTCTTGAGTTCTTCTCCAAAAGGAGGTCTTGAATCCAAAGGGATCTTCTCCGAAGAGGCCGCGGTCTCTCACGAGGAGTAGATCCGATGTGGATGAGCAATGCTCTATCTCTCAAATGAGCTAAACCAATGCTAACCCTAGAAAGGAGGAGGGAGAGGTCTATTTATAGTCTAAAGTGCAAATGGGGGCGAAAGTAGGGGTACATGGGCCTCGGGCCCGAATCTGGACGCAGCCAGGTACCGGACGTCCGCTGGTGGCCGGTCGTCCGGTGTCCTCCGGACGTCCGCTGGTTCTGCTCTGTGATGGGGGTGCCGGACGTCTGGTAGCTCCGGACTTCCGCTGATGGTGGCTCGGGTGCGGTCGCGCCGGTCGTCCGGTCGGGGCCGGACGTCCACTCTTTTGCCTCGGGTGCAGGGGCACCGGTCGTCCGGTCTGGACCGGACGTCCGCTCGTTTGGCTTGGATGCGGGTGCGCCGGTCGTCCAGTCTGGACCGGACGTCCGTTGATGCTTCAGGCTCCGGACGTCCGTTCCCGGCCGGTCGTCCGGTGGCTGGGACTTTTCCTGCAGCTCCTCTTCTTCGTCTCCATCTTCACGTCCATCTTCCTCTTCTTGTCCTTGCTCCTTAGCGTCTCCATGATACCTAAGCATGCATAATGTGTCCATATGAGGTAGTAGCCATGTCTCGTGTGCCTCGAAGTGGAATTGTGAGAGGAGAGATGTCACCTCGGTTTCAAGAGCTCTTGCATGTGCTCGTGTCATGGGTCCAAGAGGTGTCGTAGGAGATGTAGTTGGGTCCATGAGGATGGCCTTGGGATGCTCCGCATCACCTGCCGTCACCGGCATCTGATACCATGTTTAGTCAGGGAGGGTCTCACTTCTGCGTCTCTTTCTTCTCTGGGGTTGGATGGTGTGATGTGTGAAGCTCTTGCACCTCTTCAGACACTGGCTGGCGCAACCTCTCCTAGGTCAAAGCCATGGGCCTGGGCCACATGGGCTTTAAGTGAAGATGGGCAAGGCCCATACTGGTTTAACATTTTGTAACTCATTGTTCATAACAAAGTTAGGCTACACAACTTCAGTAAGTTGAATACATGATATTTGTTGTATTTGTTTGTTTACCTTAACCATAACTTTTTTTAAACAAGAACTATTTGGATGCTGGGTTAAATAATATTTCATCATATAAATGCTACGAGTAGCATCAAAGTTTTGTAGCCTCTCCCCAGATAGGAAGACTTGGACAACTTCATATCATTAGTGTTACATGCCTTCTCTTACAGTATATGACTTCAGTTAAAATATAAAAAGATTTAGGAGTTTCTTCTTACATTTAGAAATCCTCTGTGAAATACCAGATTTAAAATACTAGTAGAACTTGCTCAATAATTAGGACATCTATTCTGTTCTGTTGGAGAACACAGCAGTTCTGTTAGAGAGCCTCTCCTAGCTTATCTCTAAGAAGATTTATCAGATTGGTTTCATCTCATCGGTTTATCTGTGGTTTTTCATCGTTTAGTGAATCTTTGACTAAAGTGACCGTTAATTCATTTTTTTTCGACAAAGGGTGGATTTTATTAACTCAAAAATGAAGCATCAAGAGGATACAAACACAATGAGTACACATCCGGCCTTTGCATAACTAGGATGCACACAGCCAACACCACAACACACACTAAAACACGCCGGCCAATAGCAAAGTCATATAAGACCAAAGCTATGGCTAAGCGAGAAAAAAGAAAAAAAACCCAAAGGGATCAAATCCACGATCGACAATCTATAGCAATGACCACATCCACACCAACTATCATGACACCACAAGGACAATGATGTTCTTCAACAGCAACGCCTTCAGGAAGGGAGCGAAGTGACCGTTAATACATATGACTTGCAAGTCTAAATGACTAGATTGTTGCAGTATTTATTATTCTCTATTTGCCTTCATTAGTTTTTTTCGAGAAAACGCAAAGTGATTTTTGCGTTTCATTGCATTGAAAAGGTGAGAGAGAGTACATGCCTCCTAGGAGGTTATATTTACAGAGTCCTAGCGCCTCCGATCAGTGGACATCCCAGGAGGCGGGCAAGACTACCCGCAGCCCCTGTGCCCCAGCTTTTGCCCAACAGTTGGCCTCGTCTTTAATCCTATCAACTAGCGCATCTATCGAGGGTCTTGCATTGTCGAAGACGCATTTGCTCCTCTGTTTCCAGATCATCCAGGGGACGAGAAGTGTGATCGATTGCAGAGCTTTGCGTAGTATAGGAGGGGTTTGTGCCTTCGTACGCAGCCACCAGTTCATCAAGGTGATTTCGTTAGCTGGCGGTTGGGCAGGTATATGCGCCCAGTCCAGGATGATGTGCCAAGTCTGCTTAGCAAATGGACACGCTAGTAGCAGGTGTTGGATGGTCTCCGGGTCTTGGTCGCAAAGGAGGCGCCGCCGTGTGTGTTGTGCGTGTTGGTTGTGTCTGTGTTGGGCTTGTTGTGCTGTGCCCACAGCTGAACCCGTGTGGTGTTGGTGTGCTTGTCTGTTGGACCTTGCCTGCGGTGGCGGTGTGTGTGTGTGTTGTTCGTTTGGTACTTGCTTGACTTTGTGCTCGGCGGTTGCTTTATTTATAAAGCGGGGCGAAAGCCTTTTTCGGTAAAGGAGGCACCTAGGGTAGTGCTGCAGGCCGCGGCTGGCCAGCCTCGACGCCGTCCAACATCGGTCCTGGTTAGCGCATCAGGTACCGGGCAATCTCGTGTATCCCGATGGTCCCCTGGATATCGCGGGCCCAAGTGTTCCCGTCCAGGCCTTCTGCCACTATTCTCGTCTTGCGTCGCTGCTTGGGGATGCATTGGTATAGCATGGGGTCTATCTCACGGACGGATTGGCCGTTTATCCATCGGTTGTCCCAGAAGAGTGCTGTCCGGCCATCGCCGAGCATCATAGTGGTAGATGCGAAGAACAGTGCGCGCTCCTCCTTGGAGAACTGGAGATCAAGGCCCTGCCATGTGCGGTCAGTGTTTGTGCGGGCAAACCACATCCATCGCGGCCGTAGTGCTAGGCCTGCGCGCTCCAGATCGCGGATCCCAAGGCCACCATATTCCACGGGGCGGCAGGCGTGGCGCCAATTGACATGACAGTGCCCTACATTGGCGACGGCGCGGCCGGCCCACAGAAAGCCACGTTGGATTTTCTCTAGCTGCTTCAGTGTCTTCTTGGGTGGGGCAAAGGCGAGCAGCTGGTGAACTGTGATAGCTCTCAGCACCGACTTGACCAGTGCGAGCCTCCCGGCTTTGTTCATGAGCCAAGCTTTCCATGTCAGGAGCCGGGTGGCCACCGAGTCGACGAGGGGCTGTAGCTGTGCAGCAGAGGGTCGACGGAGTGTTAACGGGATACCAAGGTAGGTGATGGGCAGCTCAACCACCGGGCATCCAAGTTGGGTGATCATCTCGGCCGTCGCGGGTTCGCCATGGAGGATGGTAGCTGAGCTCTTTGCATAATTCACCCGGAGCCCACTAGCTCGGCCAAACAGGGCTAAGATGCCCTTGATGGCTGCCACGTCGTCCTGGGTGGCACGGCAGAATATCATCACATCGTCGGCGTAGAGTGAGATCGCCAAAATAGCTCGTCTGGGGTGTAGCGGCCGTAGTATGCTGCAGTCGTGGGCGCGTCGCATGAGGCGGCTGAGGGTGTTGACCGCGAGCACAAAGAGCTGCGGGGACACGGGGTCTCCCTGGCGCAGACCGCATTGGAGCCAGATTGGTGGGCCGTGTTCGCCGTTTAGCCTTCATTAGTTTCAGTTTCTACTTTGTAAGTGCATAAGGACAACCTCTAGCGAAGTTCAAATTGACATTTTTTAATACTTATAATTACAGTCATTTCATCTGTAACAACATTTGTAGCATGGAATGGTAGCTGAAACACTCTTGATGCGTATCTTGATATATATTTATTTATTTATTTATTTATTTGCAGTGATTCTGGGCGAGATAGCAAACTTTGCAGCATACGCATTTGCCCCTGCCATACTTGTTACTCCTCTAGGAGCTCTGAGCATCATATTTAGGTAGCAGCCATACCATTTTCTTGAATTTACTTATTTGTCCTAGTATATGTTTCTGTTTAATCTTTTGCTGATGCAGTGCAGTGCTCGCACACTTCATCCTGAAAGAGAGATTGCATATGTTTGGTGTTGTTGGTTGCATCTTGTGTGTTGTTGGGTCTGTTGGTATAGTTTTGCATGCCCCAAAGGAGAGGGAGATTAATTCAGTGGAGGAAATATGGCATTTTGCAACTCAGCCAGGTAGCAACTTGAAGACCTGCTCCTGTCAATAGAAACCTGTAGTATTTCATGCTTTATTGATGCAATTCTGCTAATTGCATGATCATGCATTCAATGTTTGATATTTCATGACTTGACCATGGGTTTGGATTTCATGGAAAATTGTCCAATTGCAGATAGTGTAGAATTTGGCAACTGTTGGTCAAACGTATGAATATCTAAGAATTAACTTACCTTTTAGATTATAATTCACTCGAGTATTTTAGTTAAGTTTCCCCTTGTTCTGGTCATGGCATTTCTTAAGGATCGCTGATCACAACGATTCAGTATATGAAAAGAGAACTTTAACTTAATAAACTTTTCTTCAGGGGAAAGATATACTTACACTATTTTGTTTTGCCTTGCTCCCTTTTGATCTGGCTGTATCTTTGTTGGCACTCTCAACATTGACATGCAAGGGTAATTTCTGCAGGTTTCATTGTTTATTCATGTGTGGCTGTGGTTGGTGCTCTTTTTTTGATTTTCTGGGCTGTCAAACGCTCTGGTCATAGGAAGATGCTCGTCTATATTGCAATCTGTTCACTAATGGGATCACTCACGGTACATTAGAAGTGCAATACCATCTGATGAAATCATTAAATGGATCAAGTTAGTGATTGTTCAGTGACATATTTTTTTGACTGGACAGGTTATCAGCGTAAAAGCAGTTGCCATTGCCTTGAAGCTGTCATTTAGTGAATCAAACCAATTCATCTACGTCCAGACGTGGTTCTTCATATTTGTTGTCATTATTTGCTGCTTGGTGCAGTTGAACTATTTAAACAAGGTAACCATTATA